AGTAACTTGTTTTTATGCCTGTTGTTGTCCATGAGTCTCTGGGCATGATTATGTTTATGTTGAAAATCTCTTAGGTGTGCTTGAGGGTACTGGGGGTGTGTAGGACTTCAGAAGTATTCTTTCTATCTTGTTACGGTCCATTATTTGGATATTTAAAAAATTGCTGGATATTAAAATGATGGTAAATATTTTACCACTATTTGTCTAATTTAAAGACCCCTTAGTTTTTGTAGATATGTTGTTCTTACAAGTAAAAAGGAACGGAAATGTTTGGTCTATTATAGATTTTTAGGTAAAATGCAAATCCCAAGCAATTTATTAAAAGAGCATGTTGCTGGCTGGAATGGGTCAATGTTAACTGAATTCACAGCATATAAAAATCATAATGTGGCAAATTGTAGATGAATTCTTAAAATGGGTCAATAGCTATTATTTCTAGTTCTATAATTTGATGTGTCACCTAAAACAAGAAAGTACAATTTAGTATTATTAAGCTTATAAACCCAAAAGTGTCAAAAACATGTATGGTCAAGATAAATATTAATTTACTTGACATATTTTTCAAAAATGATATCATTTGTGTTGTTCTTATCCAACAGAAATTTAGTAAACAGTTATTTTAATGTGCTTTTACTTCAAAACCAAATATCTAAGGTTTCAAAGCACTGGCAAGAAAAAATATTAGGAAGTTTTCTGACTCAGGAACAAGCAATCCTAAATATAAATAGAAAGGTAGTTATATTTATATCCAAATATGTTCCATTATTCACTTGATAATGTAATTCTCCATTTAGGACAGAAAATGGTAAGTAACTGGTTAAAAAGTCAGTCTCTGCCTTTTAGTTAATCAGAAGTTTGATCGCTGAGGTTATTTCAAATGGAATCCCCTGGTGTGCCCTTTTACATAAATAAGAAAAATGTTCCTAATTAGCAACTCAGAAAGCATTCCTTCTTAATGTTTACAGCAATTGCTATTCAAACCATTTCTACTTTTCTGAAATATGTAACACCTTGGATAATGTTCTTGTAAAACATTTGTGATTAATTCACTACATAAAATAAAAGGTCCAGGAGCATTTAGGAAGAAGAGGTGTAGAAGGAGGAGGATATTGCTATAAACATGAACTGCTGGGAATATACCTTGTGTATTTGCATCACATTAATTTTTTATATCATAATCACATCTGAACAAGTAGCAAATCACACTATAGTTTGAATTCTAAATATTCTCTTGCATCCCCCAGACTAAACACCAGTTTGTTTTCAGAAAAATGCTCCTAATACTTCTCTTTTTATCCCCTCAGCTAATTTGGCAATGAGAAGAAAACTACACAGACTCAGCTGCCATCAGAGGAGATGTATGCCTCTCCATTCACGAGTGCCCTTCCCCTGAGGTATTTCTGATGGAAAATAGCTTTCCTACATTTAGGCAGCATTCCAGACTGAAAATAGGTACCAAAGAATGTGTATTCATATTTTGTTACAGGTGATAATGGCTTTATGGTAATGTCAGTGTAAGAGATGCATGCTAACAGATGAAAGAGTGAAATAAGCTGGAGGGGACCAACTGGGGGAAAGGGGAGACATATGTCATACTTTCAACAATAAAGAATTATTTTTAAAAAAGAGTGAAATGACATGATGATTAAAAATAATTTAATGGGATAGATGAGGAAAATCTTGATAATGGTTGAATCTGAATGACAGTTATATGGGGATTAATACTATTATGTATGTTTGACCATTATTATTTAAATATCAGGCACCAGGAGAATATAATTATGAAAGTATCAATTTAAATATGTGTTTTGAAAAACATTTAATAGCTCCTTAGTTATCCGGAACAAGTATATTTCCCATTAAGGCCACTATGTGCTTCAGCATATGGATGTATTTGCCCAACAACACTAGGTGAATGATGTGCTAGCCTCAATATGCAGTTTATTTTTCCTGAAAATATTTCTTTACGTATGTAAAATCAACTTAATATTAATGGCACAGCAACTTTACAGCCTCACTCATAGGACTGGTCGTGATGGTTGCATTTTTAAGGATAAATTCCAAATAGATTTTTGCTCCTCCTCCTTCTTTTTCATTGAAAAAAAAAAAAGATAATTAAAAGACCTATGATTTTACACCACCACCACCACCAGTAATACCATCTGAATCACTCAACTTCAAACACTGCCCAAAGTTTAAGTTATTTCATACCACAAATAAATAACTTGGCATTCCATTGTAATTATTTTAAGCTAGTTAAGTCATTAAGTATATTCTTCCTTTAAAAAAATGCCATAGAAATATTCCTTGGCTGGCTCACACACAGGCAATTGCTGAATTTGCTTATTTAGTTGACCAATAGATTGTAGTGTTTATGGCATTATTCATGAAAGAAATATACCTAGTGTTTAATATGTGGTTTTCAAACCCAGTGAAAGTCCTGAGTAGAACATTAAAAGAAGGAAGAGCAATTCAGTAATAAGCATTTCACTAGTAAGCATTTATCATGAGAACTAAGACAAAACGCCAAGTTCTCTATGCCTGTAATCTATAACAAATTACTATTGCTATCAACATTTGAAAAATAAATTTGGTGGAAGAATCCATAAAGATACAATAAGTTCCTGAGAAAACAATTAGTAGAGGCTCAAACATGCTTTAAAAGGATTTTATTTTTAAAGAATCCTTTGCTGTGTGTTAATAATGCATTTCCCTCTCACATCTAAAAATTAATGGTAAAATTTGTGCTGAGGAGGAGTGGAGAAGTTCAAGATTTTCCCAGCACTCCCCCACAAATAACAAAGGGGAGAGGAGGTATTTCACAATAGCAAGGGAATTCCTGCATATACAGAGCAAGATACCTTACATAACTGCGAATAAAAGCCCTTAGTTAGCCACAGGTTATATTGGCTTTCTCTACAAACCACATGCCATAAAAACTAGTGTTTCAAGTAAACATGATAGAGTTGGGAAATTTGAATTGTCAAAGTTAAGGAAAAATTCTGACCTACAAACCAAATTTGTAAACCAAAGGGAAATTTCAGTGAAGGCCATATAAAACATTAAATAATAGCAACCCTTTACAAAATTAGGCTGATTCCCTTAAAGAACTGCTCAGCTTACAGCATTCATTTTGTCAGTGTTTAGACTAGTCCTACGTTCCAGCCACAGTTCTTTGAAGAAGGTATAAAAGCCTTATTTTGGAATCCAGAGATAGTATAAGAACCAATGCACGATAAACATTAGATAATTTTCCAAGGTCTTGCTGAACCAGTGTTATAACAAGTGCTACCTTCAAATTTGGTAGCACAGTTCTCACTGTCCTACATCTTTGCACGCTTTTTATATATCTTGCAACAAAACATCTTTGACAACTTGTATACTGAGTAAAGGCACACTAGACCGAGGTAGTGGAACTTTGAGGCAGAACAGCCCTTTCATTTATTCCCCTCTGTTTTCCTGCACGCTTTAGATAAAATCACATGGGGCTACTTGATTCAGTTAGGGTCAAGTAAAAGTCTAAAAGGATAGGTAAGGTAAACAGTTAACCGGAATTTTTCCAGATTAACCCTTTACAATGGTTTAGACTTTCAACTCACTTAATAGGAATGTTCTACTACCTTGAATATCAACCTTTTCAGCTCCTAGAGTCCTCTTCAGTGATCCTCAGTAAGATTTCCTAACAATTAAAAAGAAATAGACTTAATCAAATAGAAAACCTACGCTGCATACAATTCATTTTCTTGATTTTTATTTTTTTCTCACAGAAGTATTTCAGCATAAGTGAATTAGAGTGGAGGAAAGCAAGAGAAAGGGTGTCAGG